ACGCGTGGTCGGACAGCTTGCTCTGGTGCTGCGGAGCGGTCCCGGTAACCTCCGACTCCTCGCACGCCGTCTCCGACAGGGCCTTGGTGGTCACGGAGACTCGAAGCACTGCCCAGGATGAGACAAAGTGCTCGAGCTTGGAACTCGTCTTGGGATACTTGAACCAGAAGTTGCTGCTCGCCATCAGGATGACCGTGTGAATTAAGGCAAGGAAAGGCATGTACTTGGATATCCAAGGCAGAACATCGTGGTAGCATTTCTGATTCACGAAGATGTATTGCATGTATTCCATCCCGTTTGTCTGCCACTGGGACTAGAATCTAGGGGTGGAAACAAACACAAAAGCATAACCTTTACACGTGTGCTTGTTTGGAGAAACACAACAGAATGTAAACTAAAATCCACGCCAGTACACAATTGGCATCATGAATTCGAGCTCTGAATCAGAATAGGAATATTTATTTAGACAGGAGGAATCCGATGAGCTATAAAGCTCTTTTTCACAGATGTCCAGTAGGGGCATGGCCTCAGAACATTATGACATCCGATGCCCTGGAACAGCTCTTTGTGAAGACAATGGCAGGGGGCAGCATGCAGTGCCCGTTCTACTGCATCCGTGTCTTGAGCACAGGCTCCCAATTTTCACGCCGGGCTCACTCAAAAGTCTCTCTCTCTTGCCAGCCACTTCCTCGTTAACTGCGTACCGTGGTTTAACATCGGATGAACTGTTGCTATGGCTAAGGGCTGCAGGTGCTGGTGTATTCATGGTGAACACTGAATTTGGTCCGATGCCACCGCTGGGCTATATATCGTGCAGCTGAAATGCGCTTGCCGCAGAGTGTTGTTTAATTAGCAAAAGTAAATTTAAGCAAAGGGAACACATTCAATAGTTCCACGGTCAGTAGTTGTATTCTCAGTCTCAAATACTACACGCGTTTATCTTTAATTGTTGTATTGGACACACATTTCGTTAGAGTTTTAATGAAATTCCAGCAAAAAGATGCCACCGTTTAATCAAAAAGCAATTATAGAAAATAATACAAGTTATGTTTAATTAATTAAACAGATGTAAGGTATTGGGGCTGTGATATAGCTCAGCTGGTGGAGCAACAGACTTCCAATAGCAAGGACATAAGTTGAAACCATGGCCAAATTCAAGTCAGCCCAACTCCACTCAGGGGTCAACCATGGAATAATAATACGCCACCTGATGTGGACTCTTTCACAAGAAGCCATTAGTTTAAGTCAAATAGAATTATCCCTATCATTAGAACATGCATTTACACTGAGAGTTCAATGTGGAATTCGACCATTTGTTGAGGCAGTAAGAGATGCTCAGGAGACCTGCAATGATTCCAACGCGTATGTTACATATTAGCGCGCTACACGGGTGCACGACGCGTGCAACGAGTCATAGAACGGGGGCATGCGACCCCCGCAACCACGAGAGGAAGCAACCTGAACCACAAAGTGGGAGAAAACAAGTCGATTCTTGAATCAAATTGCATCTCCAAATCTTGCCAGTTGATTGACTCGCGAGGGGGGGGGGGGGCAAAAAGTTACATGCCTCTTGCGTAGACTTTGCGTAAATTGACGAGTCAATCACTGACGACGACACACGTTTCTTGCATGAATAAAACACCAAATAGTATATATTTTTTTGTGATGATAAAAAAAGAGAATAGGCTTTACGTTTTATGTTTAAACACCAAATAGACACCCTGCTGCAAGGCATCAAGTATGCCATTAACCACGCATGCTTGTGGTCGAACATGTAAACAAACATGCTCTGATAACATGTGCATTGTCTTTGAAAAGGTGCCGGAGATATCGCCGCTCAACCAGAGATATTAATGTTCTTTGATATCTGCATTGTCTTTGTTCTACGTACGGTGCAAAAGACGTTCAACGTACATACACATGTCCTGTTCGCTTTTTGGTGTTGTTCTCTGGTCTGACACTCCTAGTGAGACTAGGTCATAAAGAATAATACAATCTGACATTTTATTATTATTGCTATGATTTATGCTGGCAAAAGATCAGTGTGATTTAAATTTTAGTCAACTTTTTTTTTCAAGTGTAATACTTGTTGCGGACCGTCCTTTTCGCAATCAATAAAAATAAAGTGTCAGATTGATCTTGTGCAAGGTTTGTCTAACCCCTGGCCACATCTCCTCATAACTGCGCTCCCCGGTCCTTTCCAATCAAAACGGCATTCCTGCCGTGCGTTCAAACCCCTTCCGTTAATCTATCCAGAGGAGATTATGTGTCGTGAAGGCGCCGTTTTCCCTTATCCTTGGTGGCCTTGACGAGACATCAGACTCGCCCGTCTGCTAAACCCATGACAACACATGCAGCGGTGGTGAGAGGAACGGCGCTTTTGCACAAGCCGCGTGATGTTGCGCATGTTCATTATGTGCAAACTGCGAAACATCCGGGGCGACGTGGCCAACACTCGTGCCTGAGAAGCATTACGACGTAGAAACAGTCCCCGCTTTGAGAATGGGTTGGCAGCTAGGCAAACTTGGTACGTGGCAATGTCCCAGGAGGTGCATTAGGTGATTTATAAATGTGACATTATATCGTGAGAGTCATCGGTGAATAATCATGTATGAATCTGCCAATATAAAATAACTACGATAAAATGTAAATCCATATGGTAACCTATAATTACGTAAAATACTTTTCTCAACTCATTGGTCGTAAACAATGTGGCTTCCGTTGAATTTTGTTTTATTCCCTTGCAGTTACTAGCTAGTTAGGATACCTCACAAAATGTACAATTAGTTAAAATATTGATATTCATTAATCACAGTACCATGTTGGGTCAGGCATGGGGGGGGGGGGAGTAACGCAGTTGAAACAAAAGTCAAATAGGGGTGTACAGTACCCACAAAAAAGATTAAGAACCGCCGCTTGGTCTACACGGTGACTGACAAAACTCCGAACGGAAAACCGACACTTACGCGACGCCATTACGACAATTGAGTCGGAAGTGGGATGAGAATTCAAGCGCGGTGCAAAGCTCGAACCTTTTGTTGGCGCATTGGGCGAGGCCGTGGCCAGCAGGGACTTCTGTATGGCCGAGTCGGAGAGACACGTCACGTTCTCGTCCAGCTTGGGAAGGCAGCAGAGCGGGTCGCGTGAGAACTGCATGGTGCCGGCGAAGATGGACAGCATAAGCATGACGATGCCCAGGTAGTCGAGGAACACGTCCCACCAGGGCTTGAGGATGCGGTAAGCCGGCTGAGAGTCGCTCAGCGACGCGACCTCCGTCACCGTAAACATTGCCTGTGAAAAGCAAAGCGGGGGAAAAAAACACAAACACGGTTCGGTGACTCGTTCATTATCCCGGAAGCTGCGAAACACATTCCTGCGGAGGGAGCTGGTAGGAACGTTGGGTTGCTCAGTCAATGGCCAGGGTCAACGGTGGCGTGGTGTATTCCGCAAATATGGCCGACTGTGAGGGCGGGCACAAGCCGGCGTGAGTAGGTTAAACGTTGAGTTTTATAAGGGCACCACAGGGTGACCAGCCCCCCCCCAACCAGCCCCACCCCCCCCACCCCCCGGCCCAGCCCCACCCTCCCCACCCAGCCCCTCCCCACCCAGCCCCTCCCCACCCTCCTCACCCAGCCCCTCCCCACCCAGCCCCACCCTCCCCACCCAGCCCCTCCCTGCACGACAGACACAATAATCCCCTGTGGGCTGGTGTAACCAGGAGGTTCCTACCAGTATTACTATTTCACTTGACGGTAACTATGGAGCGTCATTCCCCTTGCCTTCTCCTGCAAAGTTGAAATATCGAGTTTCATTCAGGCTTAAGCCAAGTGAGGACCAGGTAGGTTCGTCCATTTCATCTTGTTTAGAGATAACGAAAGGTGTAATCTCCGAGATGGTTCGCACATTTTCCAGGACACATCTAATGTAACCTCCATATATTTATTTCAACATGTCGCAGTAAATGCCTAGTTGCCCACCTACTTAATTTGCATTCTATTCAAAAGCATGAGCGTAATTTCAGGTTCGCCTGATTTAACTCGCGGTTAGCTTACCAACCTGAAGCGTCGTAACGAAGCAACGGGACCACATGTGACCCCGTGATGCTGGCAACCAAAAGGACATTTTAAGCCCAGGCCTAGCTTCCAACCCACGCATCGACGGCAATGTCTCTTGCCCAGGTGGCATCACCAAGTTAGTGGCTGAATTATTACCTGTGCTCGTTTTAACATCGCAGGCTGCAAACGCACTGCTTCATACCCACCGCCAACATTGCACAATGTGCGTCACGCCTTGCGAAAAGACAGGACGATGGCATCTTCCCTCAATGCAAACGATATCAGCAAATTATCCAGAGCTATAGAGAGAAAACCCATCTAATTTACAAAATGTATCCTTCCCACACAATGCCTTTTTGCCACCGTCACCAAAAACAATGTACGGTAATTATATGGAGAAAGAGAATTGTACATTCGTATTAAACATACACAACCTTTTGTATCCTGAAATTCTTCCGCACCGTACGTAGCTAACCGTGCGTTGTTAATCTAGTGCTGGATGAGGGCCTCCCCATGCCGTGCAGGTCACGAAAGTTATTTGACCTAAAACCGCTAATCTGGTGTGGGTTGATGAAGGCGGGCGCAGCATAGACGTGAGTATAGTACAGTTCAACAATGAATTTTTTTCCAACGTAGCCCCACAGCAGCCTACAACACCTGTGTTATGCATGGTGGTTGCTGTCCAAGCAGTATCCAGCCCCAACCCTGCTTAGCTTCCGGGATTGGATGAGATTCAGGCGCATTCTGGGTGATGTAACAACAGTCCAATCGTATTAGTGTCACTGTATTGATATCTACGACAGTATGTTCCGTTCTTGTGTTATCTAAAAGTTTCAAGGCCGCCCTTATTCACACTCTATTTATGCTCATGTCATATTCAGACTTTGATCACGAATAAAACCCATGCAATGGCACTCGCGCCTAGTTGCATAACTTGGGACATACAACAATGTTCCCGCTAGGTTTCAAATTGCCAGCGGTACGCGCACATAGGAGAAGTTTGAAATGACAATCAAAAACACGTGTGGCGATCATCACAACCTCTGCGCATTACACAGACAGCATCCCCACTTCCTGAAGAAGTGCATTGTGGTCCTCGTGATGCCCACTTCTGCAGGGTCTACCTCTCAAAACCCAATTTCCCCACACGACTGGGCCCATTGGCTTGGCGGATGCCAACGATATCCAACTCTTCAAATGATGAGGAAACCTATCATCTATATAAATAAAGACCTTAATCTGTATGTCTCAAAAACGTCTAGGGTATTACCCGACATGGTAGAAAGCTGAAGTTTGATACATAGGTAGCTTTTAGGACACAAACAGGAAAAATAAAAAAATCCGATTTTTTTGTGCCCCATTGACATGTTTGTACGAGTCAGTCAGAAACCGTTTAAAATATCAGATAACATTTTTTTTCGTTTGATAGAGCGTTAAACAGCAAATACAATTAAAGCGAGACCCATTGTTCTATCTTTTATTGTTTTTGAGATTTCGGATTTAAGCAGTTTTTAACTAAATAGGACGCATTTCAAATCTGAATAATTCGAAAACGGTAAAAGATAGGGTCTTCCCCTCAGAGTATCAAGTTCATTCATTTTTGTTCTTTATTATGAAAAAGAACGGAATATTAAAATTGAGTCATCAACAATTATATTTTATTCGCGGAAAAATACACATTTTTGGAGAAGTTGTTAGTGGTCTGATCATAGATACGAATTGTAAAAATTATATTATATTTCTTGAACATTTTTGCCTGGCGAAGACGGCCTTTATGAACAAATTATATATATCTGGGAAATGTTTGCCGCGCTCAAAAGGCTATATATAAATACGAGTAAAAGTTTGTACAAAAAAACGACAGACAACAATGCCACGCAAAGCCTTAAGAGACCGTTAGGCAAAGTACTGTTAGCGAGCACCTATGAGGGCCGGAACGGTACACAATGGGGTGGGTGGCCAGCACCACGCCTGGCCGCCTTTGTCTTACCAGTGGCGATGATTTTACACACCCCACCAGGTACTCATTTGAGGCCGAGTCGACCGAGAGAAGGCCCAGGACCGGTTCAGATAATCGTCACTGGTGTTGGCCGTGAGCGGGAATCGAACTCGGGTCGCCGGGTTACGTAACGTGGCGCGCTAACCCGCTACACGCCACCGCACACAGATACACACACGCCAACAACCGTATATGATGTATTTGTCAAGTTGGTATACATAATGGAGTGGCTGAAAGAGCAGGGGGCCAAAGGTTTTGAATACAACCCTCTCAAATGCGGCTCGTGCAAACCACCGCACTGCCGCCTGTCTGCGCGCACCCATTGCACTGCCGAGCGTTGCCTTTGTTACAAGCGTATTGCGCAGGCCCCACTTGAACTGGCACTCACTTGGGACAGCAATGAAAGGCAATTTATCTTGCAGCCTAGCTTCCTTTGGGGCCTAAGTAATCGTGAACAGCCGAAATAAAAAGGCATCATAAACAGATGTACAAATTGATCACCGCGTTAAGTGAGACGTTACCTTCCGCCAAAGTCGCGCGAGTGGTCCCCCTGATGAGAAGCCAACTGGGAGGCCCGCAGCGGCGAGGAGGCGCATGACCACCCAAGTACGTTTAAACCCAACAAATATGCCAAGGCTTATCAAGGGCACGCTTAAAGTTGATATTAACACAACAGTATTTCAAAAGGTTTCGCATCCGACTGCTAAAAAGTGAACACTTAGAAATGTACTTTTGTGAGGCAGCGCATTTGCCACATGTCTTGTTTTCACACGAAGTGTTGAAGTTTTTACATGGACGGCCGCTTGGTGGTCTCTTGATGAAAGGCGCTCGCTCTACAAAGTAGATTACCGCTATTTATAAAGACTTTTTCTGACGTAATATTTCAATACGTGTATTTTCCTTACGAGAAACAAAAAACGCATCTTACAGTTATTGAAAACTGCGTTTTAGTCATCTTTTTGGTTGCCATAGGAGTTAATATCCATTACACCTCGAGCCAGCGCCACTAAACAGGCCAAATTTGCATTTCCCAGTGCTGGTCATTTGGCATTAAACGATTCACTCTCTACATACATTTCAGGAACTCTCACCCCCACAGTCACAATTTGATTCAAGATTCCATCCCTTCTCGGGTTTTACTGTCTCCATTGAATGCCGTCTTGTTTGTGTCTCTTGCATCTGTACCATTAGCATAAATGTAACACTTAGCGTCTCGTTCTTATAAATCACACGGACTATAACTTTCATCTTTGTACGAACAATACCGAGGATTGATTTCCATCGAGGCTTTACGAGCTATGCTCGGAAAATGGTCTCCCGACTCAATTGAGAGGTACTGGCTTGCCAAGAGGACGACAGCTATAGCAGTTGCTGAAGCAAAAACCCCCAGGGCGTGGGAGGAGTTTGGAAAGGCCATGGAGATGAGATAACCGGGCAGCCTCAAAGATGTTCTGACAAACCATCCGACGCCTTAGGAGGGGTCGACGGGACGTGGCCCAGGCTGTTGTCAGGAAGGGCGGCGTAACATTGAACTCAACTAAGGAGATAGTCAAGGAGATGGAAGGAACACTTTGAGAAGTTCCTCAACCCGGTGGACATGCCCTCCTCTCAGGAGGCAACCCTGGAAACAGCTGGGGGGGGGGGGGTCGGATCCATTATGGCTTCTGAAGTCACTGCGGCTGTCGAGGGCCTTTGTAGCAGCAAAGCTGTTGGGGTGGCCAAGATTCGCCCAGAGTTGTTGAAAGCGCTGGACAGTGTAGGAGTGTCCTGGTTAACACGCAATATTCAATGTTGCATGGAAGGCGGGTACAGTACCGCTGGTTTAAAAAACTGGAGTCGTGGTCCCCATTTTTAAGAAAGGGGACCAGAGGGTGTGTTGCAACTACAGAGGAACCACACTCCTCACAGCGTCCCAGGTAAGGCCTACGCCAGAGTGCTAGACAGGCAGCCAATGAAAAACGCACAAACGTGACTTGGCAGCTCTATTATCGGACTCATATTTGGCAGACAAATAAAGCTATAAATGACACTTTTAAGCTCGCTATCGGAAGAACGAATGTAACGATTCATCGATTTAAGAATCAATACATTACTATTCACACCTGTTGTTTGGAACGTGTATGCAAACGTGCCATTTACGTTCACGTGGTAAATGAGATCGAATTGGATAACAAATGAGACAGTCAAATTTACAAAAAAATAATTGATTCCTGAATAAAAATCACAACCTCGACCATCATTAGTTTGCGAGGACAGCGAGTTCTACAGAATTGGAACAATGAGGATAATTTGCTGACACAGGATGGTAACCAGGTTACTGTGAGATAAATGCCTGCAAGGCGGCAATCTTGGAGGTCAGGTTGGTGGATCGGGGTATAGAAAGTCATCATGTGCTTGGGATAACCAGCTGCTTTAAGGAGCTAGTACGGCAAAGTCGGTTCACAATAAATCAGTGCAGTTTTGGGTTTCCACCCACCCCACTGGCAAACATGTCCAGAAAGGAATTGGCTGAACGTTCCAAGCAGGGCCCCCCAAAAAAGGTTGGCCAGTGTCGTAATTTAAATTCCCTGGGTGATAGGTAACAGATTCGGCTGCAGTACACTCTTTGAAAAAACGATCAGGACCCATCTGTACACGTACTCATGCAATTATTTTTTTATTAATAAGGCCACTAAAATGATCAACGTCGGTGGCCATGCGCAGTTACATAACCGATCGGCCACGCAACGCACAGCCTATTCCCACGTGAAATGAATACCTTTCCACGTTATATTAAATATATACCGTTCTCATTTTACACAACAGATAAGAATGGCACGCTTACGTAACGCAGCTGCGCTGTGTGCACTGTCGGCAGACGAGCGGGAAGCAAGCCTCTCCAGAACGACTACGGTGACACGAGCAGCCACAATCCACCGGCTGGAACACGCTACGAATGGGGGGGGGGGCAGCTCCTTACACTCCCAGCCACGCCGCCGGGGCTAAATACCGTGCAATTGAACGAGAACGGCGTTACACACGTGCACACTGGCCCAGCGCAGCAATGTAGCCAACGCACAGGCGCATCCACGACACACATCGCCACCGAGCAGTGAACGAGACGGGGGGGGGGGGCATGGCGTGCTACTCACCAGTAACAAGCGGCGAGACGCCGAGGTTCTTCGGTAGCAATCGAGGACTGCGAGCAGTGGCTCGCTCGCTCTCCCGTGCTCTCGCTCGCTCGCTCGCTCGCCCTCCCTCTCACTCGTGTGGGGAGGCTGAACGGAGAAGACTGCCCCGTCCTGGCAAAACTCCCTTTAGGGCCACCCAATCCCGAAAGGAATCTCTGGGTGTTGCCATGACAACACAAGGTATGTTGCCGAGTGACCTTTTGTTGTTGTTGTTGTTGCCCGAACTTATTTTTAGTTCATTTATAAATTCCACTTAATAAAAAAAAGATTTTTTTTTCTTCTTCCTCACAGACACTCTCTCTCTCACGCACGACATTTGCTGCCACCGCCGCTTCTATCACGCGGCGTTTCTGCACAAAGCGGTGATTCTGGCGCAAACGGTTGACTTGTGAGCCCAGAAGACCCAGAGGCAACACTTAACATCTCACATTCCAACAATGGAACTGGCTGGGCAATCGACCAAACTCAACATTGTCAACCGTCTCAACGGACACAGTGCTTCCAAAATTATACCATGATGTGACAGTAGTCACCTTGGTATTGTTAAAACCCAAAACTACTATTTTGATTACTATTTGTACCAAAACTGCAGTTGGTAACCATACGATTCCTATTCCTAAGTCAGTAAGTTTTAAGTTCACTTGAAAGGGATTCTCCTCAGGATTCCTGCCATGGAACATTTGTGCAAAAATAACAAGATTATCTGGGGTTTGCTCCACGTTTTGTTGCCATATATACATACTCCCATCGTGCTATCGACATGTCAGGAGATGATGACTCCATCGGGAAATCTCAGAGCCGTGCGACCCAGATGTTAGAGACCAGCTGAAGGTAATGTTTACAGAACTTCTCTCAGAAAAATCCTTCAAGGCTTTTTTTTCTGATTCTCTCTGTATTTATTAACACAGTAGGGTGGCACACGTTCCCATGCACACTGCCAAGAGAATATCACATGACAGTCAAACCAACGCGGTTTTAATTCTCGGAGCTGGAATTTAGACATTCCACATGTAAAATAAACTCAATATAATTATATTTTAGGTGTACAACAACTGGTGCCCTGACCAAGATGGTCAACGGTGGCGAGATGTTAACTACCTCGCCTTGTATACAGGAGATTGTGGGTTTGATCCCCACCTTGGCTGCTGTATATTTGGAGTTTGTGTGTCTCTCTCCTCGTGGTCGCGTAGATTTTTCTACAGGTCCTCCGGTTTTTCCCTCCACATTTAGAAACCTGCGTTTAGAGTATTTGGCTGCGATACATTTGCACATAAAGCACTTTTGTCAAGCTCTCATTTGTGACCAGGTCGCTTCTGAAAAAGAGCTACATAGCTCAGTGGGGCCTTACCTGGTAAAATAAAAAGAGTAAAATAAAGTTCACTTACTACACGTGGGAACCCGGTTAAATAAGGACAGGCGGATGCCTGGATCGGAGCCCAGGATTTCAGCGGTGCCGGCTCCGCACTCTCACCTCGAGCCACCTCGATTTGACATTTTCCAAATTCTCATTATCTTGCGGTTGAATTTTTTTTGTTTCCTCTTGTTAATCTTTCATTTTCATAAGAGCATCAGTTGCAGTTTGATCACGTTCACACTGCTCTTTTTGACTGTAAAACATATTGGGGAAACATGAGAAGGGCTCCAGGAGCTTGTTGCAAATACTCATTTTAAAAGAGCCTCTGGCTTATGTTTGAAGACTCTGTCTGGATTCTGAAGTTGGCACCGGAGCTTAGCAACTCAGCTGTGACCTCATCGAAAGGCTTCACAAGCTTCCAAACACCTAACACATTGACAAATAAAGCATTAGATGCTTTCCGTGTGGCACCTACATACAGGGCAAGAAGGTGGTGGTGGCTCTGGAGCTGGGGACCCTCACAAAACCAAGCGAGGTTTCGGCCTGGATGGAGCTGAAGACGGGCGGCCGCTGTGCACACACCGCGAGTGACCGGTGCACCGTGTGATGCACCACGTGGTGTACCATGTGATGTACATGATGTACCGCGTGATGCTCAGCAGAACCCATTGGTCCTGCTTCTACGCTCCCCACAGTCACCAACCTCAACTGACCGGCATGGGGAAGTATGGTCAAATCACCACCACCAGCACGGCACGGGGGAGGCACTCGTCCAGCAGTGGAGTGACGAGTCACGAGTTCATCTCCCCCGTGGGTGTCTACCGTAGCCTTACGTCCCATAGGGGATGAAGAGGAATAACTAAGTGGGTGTCTATCAGAATCAGAATTTATACTGCAGGAGGAATCCGCGATGAGCTATAAAGCTTTTTTTCACAGATGTCCAGTAGGGGCAGGTCAGAGAGTTACAACAACAACAGCAAAGAGTTGGAAAAGTAAGCACTGTCCAGATTCTACTGTAGGTATTTCAATCATTGCATATAGAATTCGCCTTGACCTTAACAACACGTGGGGGAAAGCCATCGCAGATATTTTTGATGTCGATGCCCAACTGCAAGAATTTATATTGAGTCCCACGGGACTTGAGGAAAGGGACTGATGAAACCAATCATCACGTCCAACGCAAAATGCACATTGCATCGGTACTCGCAGATACCAGAGCACTAATAATTAGACGCTTTCGACTTCGACCAATACTTCAGCGCTCACCGGAGGTGTACTACCCCAGTTGACTTGTTTCAATGTTCAATTGGAACATTCGGCAACAAAGTATATAGTCAAGTCGACTCACTTAATGCACATCAAAGCTCTTGGCAGTCACGCACAATTGTGTGAAAATAGCCACTGCATTCTCTTGTGTGTCGTGCAGACAGACAGTGATTTATATACGACACGCTTCTGGGTGCTGCATGGCTGTAAATTATTTGATCGAGGTCAACTAAGAGCCAATTGTGATTCATGATCTATTTCACAAGCAGGGCATGGGTAACCACACTAGTCCGAAGACAAATGACAATTACAAATGAGTCGATGGCAAATATTCTTCAAATTTGGGCTTTTGACAACCACAGGCATGCAAGGGCTCACTGTTGTTGTAGTGACATGAAACGTTGTTACTCTATGATTAGCACCAGCCACTATTTCACACGTCGGGTAATAAAGGGACATGTGACTGGGAGCCGGGAGCTCCTTACTTGATACAGCAGGAGGCGTGACCGAGGGCAGGGCGAGCCCACGCCCAGGGAAATAAAGGGGGAGCCCCGACAGGGATCGGGGTCCGTTGTGGGGATCAGCCTGGAGTCCCGCTTCGTCTTCGCTCATCGCTGCTCATTCGTCGGTTGAGTGTAGCCTGACATCGTGGGTCAGACAGCGTGTGTGCTGACTGGCCTGTTCGCTACACTAACGCACTAGTTATAGAACCCGAGTTGTTATTAAAAGTATTGCCTCCAACTATAGTGTGTGAGACTCCATGTATAACACACTACATTGTGAAGGTTGACACTACCAGTCTCTTTCACGCCCCACTTTATAGAAGACGGCATACTTTCGCATTTTATTGCAGGATTTATTCGATGGCTGCCGAAGAGAACATGCTGACTGAGCGCAAACCGGCTCAGCGGTTGAGCACCGCGGCCGCCTCGCTATGCAGCCGTTTTTTTATTCGCAAATATACTACCAATGCCCTAAGCATCGAAACAATTACAAATTATGATCTACGGACAGCAGCAGAGGCGTAACGCCGGACCTTTAACGCGCGACCTTCGCTCGCAAAAACCCAAACGCCTCGGCACACGCGTAGGAGAGCTCGGTAGGCCTGAGGCTGCTACTGGCTGACGTGCTTGCCATGCTCCTTCCGTCTGATTTGTGGCACAACTGTGGCCGGTGTGTCCACGACCGACGAACGAGGAGGAGGCAACCCGACGGAGATTCCAGAAGCAGTTCTAGCGACATTTCCTTCCAAGCCCTTTCTGGACAACACGAGGCACGGCACTGCTCTGCTGCTAGCTCTCCAAACGGATGCGTATTCTCATGACGCATTGCTAAGGATACGAGGGATAAGGTTGGGAGAGGCGGGGGGGGAAACAGAAACTTGAAAATTGTTAGATAAACAATCCATGTTTTTAGAATTCAAGGACAATGCATATATTATCATAGTATGTTTTTTGTTTGCATTTTGACTGCAAGTATTGTGTTTAATGCAGACATGAATCCTTGTAAAAAGGTTTCAGTTTTGTTGCCAGAAAAAAGGGGAAAAATCCTATTATTATAATTCGGGTTGTTGGCCAACTACCAATAATTCAGGTAAAAATCAGTCAGAAGTGGAACATGATGTCATTTACGCATTGAATGTCACAGTTATTACAATACATTCGTACCCTTTGGAAACTATGTTTCAACTCCCACAAATTGCAGCTTCAGGTGTACCATCTCACACGATGTAACCTCTTTCGGTAAGTTGGAGCACATTACCAGAAGTAGTGGTTCAGAAATGTGTTTCAGACCCAGCTGCATGTCCAGTGAGTACACATAGAGACACACATTCTGCCCACTTGTGCAGTTTCCCCTTCTATAGGGAACAATGCCATCAGCCATTAGCCGCTATGTACATTGAGGTCATATTTACTCAATAAAGTGGGGCGCCACTCGCTTGTCGGTCACGTATATCCTTATCAGTAATTCTAGGCCATGGCCATAAAAGTCTCACGCACAATCAACCGAGCGCCATACCACTCTTCTTCTGCCCGCCGCCTTAAGACGATGTCGGTGTAGATCACACATGACCAATGCCAATCCACACATTAAAGATAGCGATTGGCACAACGCCAAGACACGAGTCAGCTATATAACCCATTGATACTGTGCATCATATAAATGGTTTACATGACATTTCTGTTCAATTGGTTCCAACTATTATGTTAGTGAGACCCATAAATGTAACTAAATGGATTATTGGACTTCACATATCCTTTTGTATTAAAAAGAGGGACCTAAAATTATATTCTTAGCTTTTAACTGTTTTTGTGCTTCATGAATAATTTAACTGGCTCATGAATATTTGCCCACAACCATGAATATGCTGATGATGTTGTGACATTTCAGGATTATACTCAGCACATTTTCTTATATCTTGCAAGTGTGG